TCACTATTGACATTGTTCTGAAGTCTGCACACCTGCGAAAGTCCTCAGAAAATAAATTGAGGTTGTTTGCAGACTCAGACTTGCTAGAAATGTGCCTGTGAAGGTCACAAGTCTGCAAGGGCAGCAAAGTCTAGACAGCAGTATTCAGCTCTTGTATGAGATAAAACCCAAGATTTACTGGCTTAATGTTTACAGTTTTCTCCAGCTGCTGCTCCACATAAATACCATCCAGTGATAACTTCCCACCAGCCCTCCCTTTACTTTATTTCACCAAACAGTTAATAAAGAGAATCATCTTTCTGATTATTTTCTGTTCTGTGTATAAAAGTGGGTTATTACTGCTGAGGAGTTGAAGTGGGGCAGAATATAGAGTTAATAAATAAAGGATAATCTAAGAGCAGTGAGGCCTCGGAGAGCTCACCCTACATTCTGCTCAGCATTTTTAGTTCATCTGAACTCTGAAAGTTGCATTCACTCCATGTATTCAGCAGTAAGGCTGCTTTTTGACAGAAACACAGCTAAGCTTGTTTCTGTCAAAAAACAAGCTTAGCTGTGTTTTGCCTGTCAGTCTGAGGGATGAAGGAGGGATCTGTGGATACAAATCTGTATACAAACTAATACGTTACTGGCTTTGTGAAGGTATTTCAAGGTTTTTTTTTTCGAATATTGGTGGCTTTTACACTCATTTTTAGCCCTTGTACCTGATGATTTTAATAGGAATAAAAAAACCCAACCCAAAAACCTTTCAGCTGAAAACTTAGTGTACAGTGTTTCCTTGAAATGAGGAAACTAGAAGTCAGAAGTGGCAGGCAAAATCATGTCCTTGAGAAAAATCCTTAGAGACAATTGTAGCCCTTATATCGTGGCTATTGTCATGTCATAACAAAAGTAGTTTGGTACAGACGAGTACTGTTGGATTTTTAACCAATCTGGAAAACACCTGATTGGGAACCGCTTCATTTTTCAGCATGACACGGACCCAAACACACTGAAAATGCAGTAGAACAATATCTGGAGAGAAAAACTTACTTCCATCGATCCATTTTCCTCTTCCCAACTCTGAGATATATTCCCTTCAGCTTCACTCTGCAGCAAAGTTCAGGTTGTTTCTTCCACTTCTACTATTTCTACAGTAACCGATGTAATTGTTGTAATTGATGTAATTGGAGTCCACATATGTGGACATCACATTTTGGGTTGTCTAGACCAAAATATGGGTGAACAGCTACCCTGAGGTACCTCTGAGCAAGGTACCGTCCCTACACACTGCTCCCTGGGCGCCCAATAGCTGCCCACTGCTTCACTGAGTGAATGGGTTAAATGGGAGAGAGGAATTTCCCCATGGGGATCAATAAAGTACACTTTCTTTCTTTTCTAAAATACTACATTTTTTTGCTCTTCAAGGGCCTGATATCCACTTACGAGGACATTATACCGTCAGTGTTCTATCAAAATTTAAAACGAATGTCCCTTATATGTGGATCTCATTTTTTCAGAAGTAATTTTCACATCTGAAGACAGTATGTTTGAATGCAAAGTAGAAGGCCAGTTGCAATTATAGGTTTCAAATGGTGATAATGACTCCCATTTTCAGACAGACACTCGTGGAAATATTGTGATAGTGTAACATAAAAGTGCCATGACACAGAGTAAACGAATGAATAAAGACCTGGAAAGAAGCTCCTGTCTCACCTCCAAGCACCTGGTAAGTCCCAGTAGAAATTTGATTTGAATATCAGATTTAGTATTGCATTTGATTCATGCAGCATTATACACCCACTACAATTCTAGTTGCTGATTGTGAACATTAGTGCTAGTAATGTGCAGCTCTTCATACAGAAGGAGAGAGGAGGGAGACAGAGAGACACATGAGAGATTATATCCCACTTCCAGCATGAAGAGAAAACAACATAAACCAGAGAACTGAATAACAGCTGACCTCATTCATATACATACAATCATTTAACAAGCCTTAATTAATGGACATAAGTGGATGTTTATCAGCTGTTTTATATGTTTGAAAATGGAAACAGTAATAACATAATAGCAAACTTATTGGTTGTTGTTATTCTGTATATTAAATAAATAACTACTTACATACATAGATAAAAATGCAAGAGCTTATGCTGGAAACAATTAGAAACAATGCCATCATCCTGAGAATTCAAGTAAACCCTGTTAAAGGATAAATTCTATTTCAGCCAGGAGTTTCCTTTTTTTTTTCTAACTCTTTGGAGAAATGAGTTGGACAGTATATACTGAAAAACAGAAGCTCATCTCTGAAAAGAAAAACAAATTTTTATTTTATTTTGACCCAAAGAAAACAGAGGATAGTCATAAGCTTCCCACATTCATCTTTGCACACTGGTTTGTTGTCCCACAGAGGTATTATCGTCAGGGTGCTGGGTCACTGACCCAGCATTTTTGTTTATTTTGCAATCATGATTCTTTTGCTGAGTATTCGCCCTCTGTGCGTGTTAGTCGTGTTGCTGTGATTTGTCTCCTGTGCACGCCTTGTTCCCATGTCTGTTTCTTCCCTGACCCCAGTGTCAAGCCTGTCTGTCTCAGTCTCAGTGTGTTTCCTGTTTTATTTTGACAGTCTCCTGTCCTGTGTTCAATGTGTTCAGTGATAGGTTTGTAGCTTGAACCCATCTGACAATCAACAATACAAATCTAACATTCAGTTTTGCTTACCTCGTCTCATTATGTTCGTTCACCTCAGCTATGTTCCCATGCTGAGATGAACAGCCTTTCCCTATTCACCCTTGTGTGTGTTTGTGCCATGTATCTTTTTTACCTTGTTGGATTGTCTGTCCATCTTCCTACCATCTTTCAGGTTTTCCATGCCTCTTGTTTGGTGTTGTATGCCTTATGTGCCATGTTCTTAGTGTTTAGCTTTCTGTTCAGTTTAGTGTCTTAACCTCCTTTTTCCCGTGTGTGTGTGTGTGTGTGTGTGTGTGTGTGTGTATGTGTGTGTGTGTGTGTGTGTTTGTCCTGCCTTTAATAAACTGCTTGCCTTTAGTTAAGCTCTGCCCTGCCTTGAGTGTCTGCTTTTGGATCCTCTCTGCAAATACTGTCTGAAGACGCAGCCCGTGACAATTATCCCTATTACCATGTAAATTTTGATAACACTGAAAGGCAAAGACAGAATTCCCTTGTTCTTTCATCTGCAATTAAAGTTTAAAATGAGAAACCTGAAGCTAACATTATTCCCACCACATGTCAAGACCAATGTTCCCTCTAATTTTTTATTTGTCTGAGCGAACACACAAACTCCCTGAGCGATCCCGTGGACCACTGTGAGCAACATCAGACGTGTGCACTGTGGTCACGCCAGCATCGAATCCATCCAAGTTACATGGTTTATTAAAATAATCAAATTACAGCATTTACATTTATGTTAGACTACTTTTAATTAACTGCTTTAGCCCACTTACAATGAAAATTTAAAAAAAATCTTGTTCATGTGGCAGGATGAACGTTATTCCTTGGTTCAACCCACTTTCAGCCTGGCACATTAGGGGGCGCTAGTATAAATAGTGGCCATTTGAGCATTCTTGGATCGCTTACCTGTGATCTCCTTTTTGGTCACCTGACTTCCCTTTGGCGTTGTAGAGATCATTCTGAAGCCTCCATCGTGGCTGGTAGGTGTTCACTCATTGTAGTGTGTACATTACCTTACTTGGTGGTAAACGGATATTGTTTTTAGGTCATAGCTGTAGAAGCCTCCTATGAGCCACTCTGCTCATGTTTCATGACGCGGTTTACTCGGTACGTAATTCAATTTTGTTACGATCTCTGCCTTTTATTCTTTTATAGTAATTACTTATTATGCTTTGCAGGAAGTGTGGGCCTTAGTTTTACGCAACGCCACGCTAACTGAAGTGCTGCTGCTTTGCTTTGCTTTTACCGTCTGTTCCCGTTGCGAAGAGTATTTACTTTATTCTCACCTCGTGCTGCCACATTCATGACCTGTGTAGTATGTTAACATTATTAGAAGTAAAAATAACTTGAACTCCAATTTTGAAAACACAACTTTTTATTTTTTTTAAATAGAGCTCTGACTTGTATTATGAGTCTGTGGTCTGGGAGAGAGTCCAGTAACTCTGTCTGCAAAATAAAGTATATAATGACCAATGTTGGGCAATTAATTATATAGTTCTTCAAAAAAGTTACTGAGTTTTGGAAACAACGTTTTTTGCAGCTGTTTACCTAAAAATGCAGCCAAGGTGGGTTTTTTTGTTTTGTTTTGTTTTGTTTTTTAAATAAACATTTCAAACTATTTACAGAACAATCAGCTGTTCTGCATCAAATTTGATGCCACACAAATTCTTTGTGCCACTCCAAAAAATTTCTGTCCACTATGAGATAAAGGAGAACAACATGATACCTGCAGGCCTGACAGCAGGAGATGTATCACTCCTGTAACACCTGTAACATTCAGCAGTCGCCTCATTGTTCTGACACACACAACAAAACTATTGACTACACTACACGCTAACAAGATTTGCGCTAAACGTTGCAAATCTCTCACAACTCAAAACACCGCTGTCACTCCTAAAACTTCCCGTTTCTTAACAACTAAATGCCATGTTTTGATTGGTCGACATGGTACATTTTTCGACCAATGGGAAAGGGTGGGGTGTTTTGGTTTCGTCTTTGCTCACAGGTGGAGAGCGCTTTCCTTATAAAACGCCGTTTTTACCGTTTCTCCCCGCAGTAAATATAAACAACGATAGTATTCAGGAAGAAAACCAAACATTGCATATTTTTTTTTATCATAACTCTGGTTTTACGTGGCCTATCAACACAATTTAAAAGCTGGTATAAAGTCCACACTTTTCCCGTCAATTGTTCCGTCTGTCCTGCTCACATCTCCAATGGTTGTACACATTGTCATTAACGTGGCTTCACTCCACATCAGCCACGCCACTTTGCTAGCTAAAACACCAGCACATATTTACTTTAATTTCAATTCAGGTTAGAATTCTTTTTGTGTGCGCAACACAGATTTTCTCTGCGCAGAGATCGTGCAAACAGTGCGCAATTGCACACGTGCGCAGCTTAGAGGGAACATGGGTCAAGACCCTAAAAATAGTGAATATTGAGATAGTTGCGGATTTGTTCCCTGCACTTGTTATTTTCCATATAAAAGTATTTAATTTGTCACCAGAAGAAAACATTTGGGAAGATAGGCAATTAAACTGCATTTTCTATTTAGTGAAAAAATGGTTCCATAAGGACAGAACAAGGGAACAACATCAAAACAGGGGCAGTGACTTAATTTCCCATTGCTGAATAAGAGTGAGATAAGGCGATGACCTACAGAAACATGGAATTGTTAGAGTTGGTATACATTTAGCTGTTGAAGGGGGAAAAGAAATCAATGTCACTTTTTTGTTTATTTTTTGTTTTTGCTTTTTCTTTTTTTACTTAGTGTATAGTTGTATAATAACTCATTTTAATCCCTATAATTTAGCTTGCCCAGGTTTGAAACATCTCTTTCACATAACACTTCATATTTGTCTTCTGCTATCTGTAAAGAGCTGGTGTCAACCAGTTTTTGTTTACTACTGTAGATTTATTGGCTTAATGCACAACTTGATTTTTAATGACAGTACGTGGAAAAATGTAGGTAATATTTCATAACTGATGTAAACAAATGATCAGTTATTACTTTAAGTATTACTTAAAGTAATACTTAAAGTAAGTATTTGAAAGGTAACCCATCAGAAAGTGGTCAAAATGAAAACACCTTCTCAGTCCCAGCTTAAAAACAATATAACTGTCAGACCAAGCTTTGAATAACAACAGGTTTCAAACATGAGTCAAGCATGGCTTTCTACTAACATACAATGTATAAAACTGTTAACTTTGGAACTTGAAAATCTATTGTGTTCTTATGTGTTCTGCTCTCAAACAGAAATAGTGTGTGGTATGAAATTCCTTGCTTAACTGAAATCGTCATTGCAAATTGCATGTTGGCCAAATATAGAAAAATGTAGAAGAATATACAATGTAGTCTGGTGGAATGGCCAGGAATCCTCTATAAATCTGTAGTTTGATGGGGTTTTTTAATGAGGGATAGTGACCTGTAACCATCGGGAGCTACTACACTGCATTGTTTTATCTGAAGAGACAATATTATATTCCTGAAATATCTGATGTTATTTATGTCTAAATTAAATTAGGTGAGTTCACATTGCTGAAGTTCCATGCATTTATCAGCATCACTGCCTCAGTTGTTACCTGCACAATAAAACTGAAATCTTTGACAAGTGTAATGTCTGATATAACATAAAAGTGAACCCAAAGAGGTTCAAAATCATGTACTATAATATAACTGTCTGAGGTTCACTTAGTTCCATTGTTTTAAGTATGCGCATCAGTTTGAACAGTTACTGTATATTTTTCTACTTGTTACCACACTCAAAGTGTTCCTGCCTGGTCGATGGAAATTTCTATCTGTAAAACAACATTTCAAATGTCTACATAAAGTGCAAGTCTTGATGTTTCTATCATAAAAATGTCAGATATGATTTTTTACCCTCTCTACCAGACTGATGTCCAGCACATAGCCAGAGTGTCCCAACAGAAACAACAGCTTCATCTCTCTTCATCCAGAAACATTTTTTTTTAAAATAACTCTTTATAACTGTTTTTTAAACTTTTCTTAGTTAAGCCATGTAGTAGATAATTGTACAATATTTGCATTTCTATGCAAAGATATAGTAGGGTATGTGGTAGAGTGGCATTCTGAATGTCTCATCCCCTCCAAAAACATGTCTTCGTGGGCTCTGTTCATCTTTGGTATGTAAAAATGAAACAGAGTTTTGTGCCACAAAAAAGATATCCATCCAATGACTAAAATTGTTTTTCAAATCTCTTGGAAAATGAACACAGTCACTGTTTTTCCCCAAAAGAAGTTTAAGCTTCAGTTTCCAGAGTTCACCCATGCATCAAACAGGAAGTGCTGGTGCTTTGACCTGCGACTCTGAAGGCTGCGGTGTTCTGTGATTGGTCTTCAGCAACTGAAGCTGGAGAGGATGGTCCGCAAGCTGATGATGGGTAATGGATGATGGGAACCTGTCTTTCTGGTGAGTTGTAGTTGTTGTAGTTGTCAGTGTCAGGAGACCTAGAGGACAGATTTAAGCAACATTAGGAATATTTCTCTTTTAGGAGACATAAAGAGGGGCCATTGATCAAGAAAGAAATTCCAAGTCTCCAAGTCAACAGACATTCAGAAGTTCTCTGAAGAGATGAGAGAACCTGATTAAAGGATCTCAACAGCAATTCTTGCCACCACAGGGAGAGGACTTGTTAGTAAAACGATATGGCAGCTTGTCAAATTGCTTTTTAAAAAACTACGAGGAACTATGAGCATGAGGAAGACATTATCTGATCTGATGAGCCCAAGACTGAACTGTGAGGCTGGAATTCCAAGAACTATTTCTCCAGAACATCAGGCACTGCTTTTGACCTGGCTAATAACAAGGCAATTTATTAGTACTGACAGAAAGCTAAAATGTAGCCAAAAACATACACATCCAGAATACACCAATATGCATGAGCCTCTACACTGATAGATATTTTATGCATTTACCATTATTCAAGAAGAAATTCATTTCTTTTGTTGATGACATAATGAAAAAGTTATGTAATTAACATTTTTATTACGTTATTACATTACGTTATTTCTGTAATCTATAATCCCAAATTTTGGCATAGCTTTCATGGGTACCTTTTATCATAACTCTTCAATGTCTGGATTGAAAGAGCCTACTGAGAACCAGATCACAATCTTTTCCTTACCCTTACCTAATCATTACCAAGCAGTTATGGTGTTTAAACCTAACAAAACAGTCAATGAAAATAAAACCAAATACAGCATGAAATCAGCAACTGAATTCCTTATTGCCTGTATAAGAATCGCTGTAACTCCTAAACATTTAATGCAATTCAATACTTTTGTTAGATCATTTCATTGATACTTTTTGCCCTTTTAGTAGATTTTCTGACAGTAAGAAAAGCAGCATCACTAGAATTATGAACTGCTTATAATGCTGAACATTACCAGAATAAATCTCATACAGCAGGCATGCCCCCCCCCCAAAATAAAGGAGAACATGAAACTTAGTGAAAATAGATATTTACTTTGGAAAAGAAGCCCTTTTGTAATTGCTTCTAGTTGAAGCCTCACAACGAAGTGACGATGAAGTAGCAGCGGCACTACCTCTGAACAGCTCTTCTCTGAATTATTCATGTCCATCCAGTTTGACTGCCGCTGGAATTCTAAAAGAGCTGGAGGAATCAGATTACACTGAGAATGATGCATAACTTTGAAATGACGTCAACATTCAAACTGCTCTTAAAATGCTCTGCTCACAGTTGATTAACATCAAGTGAAGGTGCATTTAGAGCATCTGTTGCCTGCACTCAGAGTAAGCATGGCAGATTTCTTGTAGGTGGAGGAGGCAACTGAGCTCAGAAAGTCGTCCTTGTGCACTCAGCAACTGGATTTTCTTGTGTTAGGCCAAAATACACTGCTGACACAATACCCTTATTACAACCAACTCTTTCCATGAAATCCATCATTTCTGATGGCCAATGAGAAAAAAGCTGCAGTAAAAACTTTAAATGCTGTCTCTTTATCACTGTCTGAAACCAAACAGGGCTACTGGATTATCACAAAAGTAATAATCAAATGTAAAGGGTGTTATAATTCACAATTCAAAATTGAATGTGGCAAAATGATCATTTTATCTCAGTCATTTTGTTTGCATAATGATGATGATAAACTTCAATATGCTTCTCATAAAAATATTAATTTCAAATTAAAGTTGCAAACAGCATTTATCAGGCCCTCGCTTCTCTGTGCACATCCACTCATGCTGCACTCTATCCATATTACAGGTCGGTTGGGTTGTAGGCAAGGAGTTTCATGTTGTCATGTGAATGTTTTAAGCCCAACACTAGGTGTTGCTGGAGAATATCTACTAATTATATGCCATGCCACAGTATATCATCTGTGGAACCACCAATGAAAATTTGATGTATATGGGATGATTATCGCCTTCTGCTGATTTCCTGTACCACTACATGGTGTCATAAGTGTTACCCAATATTGGCACATACATCTCCAGACTTGGACTTCCGTCAAGCATGTCAAGTTTGGGACAGACTGGATAATGTGCACTTGAGATATAGAATTTTCTATATCTACCTTTGTAAGTTAATCCCTGTAAGTGTCTACTGCTGATAAGATAAAAACAAGCAGCTGTATTCTTTTATGTTTGAAAGAGAAAAGGGGAGAAAAACCCCATAATATTCAGTTTCTAAATTGCATTGTGTCACTCTCACATCCTAAGTAAATGGATTCCCTTCTCTCCAAGGAGAACTGGATTTTTCTCTGAGTGAGTAGACTGTGATTTACTCCTGTCATTTTCTCCCTGTGTGACTGAAAATAGATAAATCCCCCTGCAGGTTGCCACCACATGGCTGCCTTCAATACAACACTTAAGGAAACATAAAGGTATATATATACATATATATGTGTATATGTATGTATACATACACACACACACACACATATGTATATATATATGTATATATATATATATATA